TGCTGGAAACAATGAAGGCACGCACACGAACCCAAACGGACCCACCGACCCATGAAGCGACCGGACCAGGGCTGAGCGAACGGCCACGTGCCGCAACCACCGTCCCGTGCCGCATGGAACCACCGGTGCGTGTTTTGTTCGCGACACTGCTAGAGTTCCTGTACGCACGTACGCAGTGGCCAGCTGTTGTTTGTTGTGCGATTGAAACAACTTGAGGTGTCAATAGGATGTTAGTTCCATTTAGTTTTAAGACAATGTGTTTTAAACTTTAATGAATACATTGGGTTTGTTTGCTTTTGTTCCCGGCGTAGTATATGGTGATCCAGTCAAAATGGGTGCTTTGACAGGTGGCTTTTCACTTCGACGACGGGAGAAAAACCATGAAACACCTCAAACAGCCAAAAACGGTCGTAGTGGACGCTTTGACCACCACAGACCATGCAGTGCTTCCCTTCCAAGCAACACAGAACCAGAACACGTAAAGAGACAAAATCTAAGAACCACAGTTTCTGGGCTCCCATGGTTGCCCCCATCCGTGGCCTCTGACTCTCGCCTCGATTCGAGCTTCTCGGTCAGGTGCAGTGATCAGCATGGATCGCATGGGAGCACAGAGCCTCATCAATACGCCAGCCATACGACGCCTGGGAGGCCCATGTTTGAGCGTGGCCAGACTTGAGATACTAGATGAATCTATGATAATCTATAGGTCATACATGCACCCATCCATCGGCATCCTTGCTAAGCTGCTATACGCATGATGCTCACACACAACTCGAGAGCATGGGGTTGCTTGTCCGCAATAGCTTTCAGGTTGAATAGCGAGAGTTGTTGGTAAATGCATATCACTATAATAACAATACGTAATAGAGGGATCCACATTGAAATCCATTGAAATCCAATACGGCTTTAGTTGAAAGGGCATCATGGTGACAACTCTTTGGGAGTGTAGACGACAGCTCAGCCGTGCCAGCTGAGCAAGCTCTGTGCAGGTGCGAACTGGTTCCTGCTCCAGACCAATGATGATGCGAACAAATTGCCTTTAGATTTTCGACGACCTGTTGTAAAGTCGTATTTGCATTGGTTCTTCGGTAGCATGATGGCGGCGTTCCGCGGGACAGCGAATTGGGAAGAAAGCTGCTGTCAGACTAATCCTTTTGAAGATGACTTTTCGTACGCAGAGGGACTTTCTTTTTGAGAAGGAAGGTGCAAATCCACCAGCCTCGTCACAGGATCAAAAGGCAACCAGATTTCTATACGCTATGATTGATGCGTAGCATGATACGGATATGTGTTCAGGTCACAGGCGTAGCATTGGAACAGAGACCGGACGCAGATGCTTTTGGTACTCATCTTATAACTTAGTCAATTAATCCAAAGGGCCTTCTCAAGGTAGGGGGTATTTTGAGGTGTATCTTTTTGAGCTCCATCTCTGACCCAACGCTTGCAGAGACACAGATTCATCCCTTCCTGGTCACTGCCCAGGTACACGAAGGAAGATGTCTCGGTGAACTTCGTTTGGGACCGGGGAACAACCGTGCCGTTCGTGTTTCACATACTGCGCCGCACCTGTGCGGATGCCACCGGCGGGTGAAACATGAAGTCCAGCAGATTCGAAGTCCAGCAGATTGAGTGAACAGTGACTAAGACTAATCAAAAGGATTCAAAAGGAATGAATAGCTGTATGCAACTAACACCAAAAAATACCGTCTTCATTGATGTTCTTTAGCTTGGAGGTTTCTAGCTCTTGCTCGCCTTCACCGACCCAAAGCTCGGTCGTCCGCTCCTCCGCTCCTCCGGTGGTCGAGGACGTGATCCACAGCTTTCCGCTGAAGAATGCCTTATCGGTCTTCACTTGGGTCGCTCGGAGCCGTGTTTCAACCACCATCGGTCGTAGCCATCGGATCGGTCTTGCCGCCGCCCGTGGTCGTTCTTTCTCGCCGCCGTTTTCTCGCCGGCTGGGGTGAAGAGGACGAAAGAGTATGATGGGTATAGGATAGGAGATGATAAGGAGATGATAAGGAGATGTTATGCCTATATGAAGAATCCGTGATCCACATGATTTGTTTGACGCAATTCAGGGATGCCAATCTTTGGTGTTTGTGTTGTTTCATGTGATGTCTTCTTCGTCCTCATTTTTCAGGATCGTCTTGTGCCTTTTCATGGTGGATGTTCATAATATAGGAGAGAAGGCCTTAGCGGAAGTGGCAGATTTTGAGGTCAGTCAGCCACTAGAGGGCACTTTGTCCTCAAGCAAAAAGGATCTCCCACTCTGATTCTGAGAATCTCGATGAATCTCCCAAGTATCCTCATTCCTATAGCACTATAGTGGTTTCAGAGTAATTACCTAGAACCTGAGTGACCTCTGTTTTCAACCACCAACCACCCAAAAGATGGTCTTTTTCCTACTGTATCAAAACAGAGGTCAAATTGGTTTCTAGGTAGATGGCACAAACCCCAAGAGGTCTTTTAGATTTTAGATGGGGCTCCAAAATCAACGCCTGGCACCTCAGGGGTAACTGGGTGCCATCTACTCTCAATCCACGAAACATCACAATCACCCCCAGGAGTCACGTTCGTTCGTCGCCAGGGAGCGGTGGATGTGACGTCGGGGCACCCCGACGGCACCCTCGGATCGCACCCCGACTACCTCCACGTGACTGGCCTCTGGTTCTTTGGGATCTCCGATCCTTCCCTCCTTCCAATCCCGATAGGCATGTTTCGCCTCGACATCGACGCCTCGTTCGCCTGGAACCCCACGAGGTCGCAGTGCCCCGAACGAACTATTCGCAGCTGGTGCTGCGTGGCCAGGAGCCGAGACTGGAGGAGGCCCCGATCGACAGCGATCCGCGACCGCCGATGCTCCCCGCGACGGCCCACCGCCTCCGCCGCGCCCAAACCCATCGCGGGGATGTGCCGCGCGGGCCGCGTCTTTCCCGTGCGCGGTCGGGAAACAAGGCAAGGCTTCCGCTCTAGAGAGCGGAAGCTTAGGAGCTACCCGGAAGGTTTCTGAAGAACTTGCTAGCTCACGGCATCTCACGGCTCCGTTCTTTCGTCGCGCTTAAAGCGAGAGAGAGAACCACCTGCACTGCAGGCTTGATTCGCAGGTGTATCTTGATGCGTTTGAACAAACACGTTGCGCCCGGCACCACACAAGACTGTCTCCCAAGACATCATTTTAAACTGCGGCTCCTCAAACACAGGCACTTCCCTTGTCCATACACCATTAAACAATATGAAACAATGACATATGTCATATGTCCTTTGCTGCGAGTAGACAGCATAGCTGTGCAGCAATGCATAGCTTGCACATCAGGTCTTGACACGGTCTGTCGCTGGAGTCGAGAGTTCCGAATTTCTGGCTGGTGCGACGAATGTCTGGGTTCGTTGGAGGAGACATAGACCAGTCTTCAACCAAAGCCAGGGGGGTCTCCCAACTCATTGATTCGTGCACTATTACAGTATGAGTCTTGTGGATCCGAGGAAGAATCCGAGGATCGTCGCTCAACATGGAGGTACTGTAGCTTTTTTGCTGCGTCCCCGAGTCACGACGTATGGTCATGCTTGGAGTTTTTTTTTCACCATGTTGCAGCCTTTTTTTGTGCCATCTATCGGCCTTTTGGTTTTGTAAAGAGAGACACTGAAACCGAATCTGGTGCACAATGCAGGTGCGACGTTCGAAGAACCGAATGTGGAATCCGGTTGATTCCAAAGGTTTTTTCATGTTTTGTTTCACCATCTGGGCGAGAGATCTTTGTCCATGTATTACGCCTCGGGGCTTTCCTCCGAGCGTCCAAAAACGGCGGTCCAGGTGGCACTTCTCGTGGAGCCCCATACGGACGAGGCATCCGGCTGGTCCAGTCAAAACAGAGTCCCACGGAAGAGAATGGCATGAAGAAAGCCAAGAAAAGCTTCAAACTTACATTGAAATGGCATGCATGACCGACATGTCCATAAAACCTCCCTCCATAAACCTGAGTGTTTCCTCTCTCTTTTTGCTGAGCTACCACAGTGGCCTGCAGTGTGCGTCACGTCGCAGTGGCCACACACAGAGATCATGCGAGGTGCACCTTCTGCAACGGTTCCTGAAGCGTCATGGGACCAAGGGATGGAAACACGCCATGTGCTCAGTGCCGATGTGCCTCCGATTTCAAGTCGTTTTTTGGCTTATTCTGACGCATTGAGTGTGTTGTACCTGCAATTTCTGGTGCATTGCGCAGCAGTCAGGTGATTTCCAACGAGGGCCTGCGACTGGAACCCTGAAATTTCTTGGCGGCACTGCGCTACGCTGGCGCAGTGCCATGTGAAACAAGTGCCTGACAAAGTAGTGTCATGTTTTCTCGTGTCCCATCAGGCAAGAAATGAGGCGCAGCTCTTCAAGATTAGACGAGCTCTGTGGAAGAGCTTGTGTGAGTGTATGTGATTCCCACAGCCCACGTGTGTTAGAGCCAATGCAGCCTGCAGTAGAGGCAGCTGTGTGTCCGAGGAGCTATGGCAGAGAGCCGTGAGAAAAAATCTGCGCTGCGAATCGCGCCGACGTGGATTTCTACAGAGGTAGCCAGTGACCTGAACTAGGACCCGTAACCAGGGCTACCCAACTAGGATAGTCTATATAGGGTTTATTCAACCTCTGCTGGTTGAAAAGGTTTGACAAGACTTCTCTCCTATGATGATGTGGATGAAGAAGGAGCACGCACGTTTGTGCTTTCAAGCAGATTTGTGCTGGGAAACCCAAAGCAGGAGGCGCTAGGATGCATAAGATTTCTGGTGTGGGTGCAAGGCTTTTCAAGTTTGCAAGCCTTTCAGCTGCGGTGTGCATCAAATTGAGTCGAACACTGCGTATAGTTTAGTCCAACAAGTCTTGTTATTCTAAAAGGTTTCTAAGAGGACCACTTCACGCACCGTTGGACCACTTATTAAGCTGCTTGGTCTTTCCGTTACATCATCTTCCCTAACACTTGCCCCATCGATCCCCATCATCGCAACGTGGCGAACACTTCGAGGCATCGATGCCCTTGGACGTGGAGTACTACGTGGAACACCAGCTCCTCACCCGTCCGCATCAGTGACGGAGCGGACCAGACACCCCAGAAAAAGACCCCAGGGACCAGGGAGGTGCTTTTGGGATCCTTTTTTGTATCTAAAGTGGGTTGCATGGAGGATGACCTGAGAGTTTCATACTGAATGTGTCTGATTTGCCTTCAGGCCGAGGTCACAAATCTGAAATATAGCTATATATGACCTTCATATGACTCGATGGTGTGGACGGATCGCGGGATCTGACAGGGTCTCAAAGACACCGCAACCAAATCCCGGTCAAGCAGATCTTGCAGTGGAAGGTTTCTTCGACCCTCCAAGAGTTTTGTACTGCAACTGCCCTCGTTCGACCCAGCTGATGAACAAGCACCCGATTTTTCGAGGTCCGCTAGGTCGATTCTGGCAAAGAAAACGAGGAAGCGAACGCACGTGCACGGACGTCGCGCTTTCACGGACGTCGTGCCATTTCAGGTTGAAGCAACCATTGCAGGGTGCCCAGGAGTGCGCAGGCATCACAGATTCAGATCGTATTCTAGAATATTTCTCATCACGAAAGCTAGCTGTAGCTAGCTGGAGTCTGTCTTGCTTTAGCAAGGAGGGGTGGGAAGCCAGGACCTGAGTCACAAGTATGCCACATACCCACGAATGCCTGCCTTCCATGTAGCACCAATGCGAGCTTCTGCTCCTGTGTGTATCACACTTAAGGTATTTGAACACATTAAAAAAATGCACACAATACCCTGGCGCCACACCAAACTCCTCTGGATGTTCTGACTTTCTTTGTACCAAACTCCTCTCCAAGGCTTCGTGTCTTTGAGCCAGTGCTGGGTCTTTCGCCCAAGAAAACGGAGCCGCCGCTGTGGCACAAGCGCGCGACGTTGATTGAAACGATCAGCGCGGCGTTGGTTTAAAGGAGGCATGCTAGAAGGGAGCACCCCACTGGGGCGAAGTTCTCCGAAATTGAGTGTTGGGAAGGCCCGTGAAGGGCCCTGTTGGAGGTCTCAATTGATTGAACTTGACGGCTATAATGTAGGCATACGGCATTTATATACACACCGTACATGGAATGTTTGCACATCTTCCGTGTTTTGAATCGTGTTGAATCTATTTGAATATGAAAGTGTCACAGTGTGCTATCCATGTCGTTCTGGAAGAGCCCGTCTGTAGTCTCATAAGCGCATACATGTTTTGAGAAGACCGACATGACCGACTCATCCCATTTCACCTGCCGTTTCATCCGTTTTCCACCACAAACCGCTTGTGTTCGAACACGTCGACGTTCCACGCTAATCGCGTTGTCCACGCCTCTCCTCGCTTCGCGTCCACTCGCAGGAGGAAGAGCTCTTCGGTTTCGGTGCGACACCGAAACCGCGTCGTCGTCGTCGGACGCGGAGGGGTTTTTTTCGGGGCTCTCGGAGTGGTCGCGGAACGTGGAAGCGGCGCGTAGAAGAAGCGAACGTGGATCCTCTGAACATCGGATGCTGAGCAAACTGGAGCAGACTGAGGAACCATGTTTTTTTTTGCAGGCAATATAGTCTCCACTTCAGTCGATAGTCTCGTGTAGTCTCGTGTATCTTGCGAGATGTGCGACAATGTATTGTTTGGGGGAAATGGACCGTCGAGCACTACAAGGACATGTAGACAGCATCATGAACAAACAAGAAAGGTTGGCCAAGTCAGCGGGGCCAGGTGGCAGTCCCTCTAGCTCGCGGGGAACTCAGACATTGAAGCCAGGCTCCGTTTCAACAGCCTCGACCTGGTAAAGAAAGAGGGTCTTCCAAAATCGGGAATCTTCTATGGGCCACTCAAGTTTCAGTGACTCTGCACGGCCGGATGTGGCAAGTTCTTGAGGATGGAAGCTCTGCCCCAGAACCACTGAAGTGAAAGGTTGAACAGCTCTTTTTCGCCCACCCAGTACCTACCACTACAGGGTCCTAGTTCAGGTCTCCCAACCTCTCTTGGCACTTCACGAAAGACATTCAGACGACTGCTGAGGCAAAAGGTGGTTTCAAAGGCACCAGCAGGAGGAGGAGGAGGTGCAAGTTTCTCCCCCCCTTGTGCCCTTTGCTTCGTGTGTGTGGAAAATGCCGGAATTCCGGAATTCCTATATACACATTATATTGTACATCCAGTTGAAGATCCGTCAAGGCAGCCAGCTGTGTCGAAAAAACACCCCATGTCTCCAATTGTTCGATTATCTAAGCTGTAAAGTGTAAACTATATCAATCGAAGTGGACAATGACCTGTTAGTGGACACTCTGCCTTTCAGGGGGCATGTTACACTTCCATGTTTGTTGGATAGGCCTCGGTTACTCACTTAATAAGTATTATTTTACATGTTCTAAGTTGAAAAAATAAGAGCCTGGAGTCGTAGGGTCTCCATGGCGTTCTTCCAACCCAACCACCTCGTCACGTCCGGGGACAGACGTCCAGTCCCGTTTCCACGGGGCATCCGTCTCCGGACCTGTCCGGGCGCGGCCGGGGACGTGGAGCGGCAGGAATTGGAAAGTTCCTGAAGACGAAGAAAAGGTGTTTGGCACCAGGCGCCGGTGCGCGCCGGCGGGTGCTTTGAGACGGGATTGGACACTGTGAAGAAGATGACGGACTTGGACACCATCAAGTTCTTATTGACGACGGTCTGCAGTTGAAAGTCCAATTATACCAGGTTCAAGGTGCCGGTGGAGTTTTATTCCTTCCATCTTGAGTAGGCCGCGAATCTGCCGCCTGCAAATTGATGGTTGAAAAGCCAAGCCAAACGAAGAACTGTTTGCGCATCACGTGTCTCCGTTCTTTTGCAAGAGGGCTTATTAGGCAGTTACTTGACGCTACGTAGGGCTTCAAGCAGAGTTTGAGCCAGGTACAGTAGAGCGGAGGGATGAGGATGAGTGTCCAGCATTCATGATAGTCCCAGTAATTTTCCTGCCATCATGACCAATGACCAGCGGGAGGATGCAGGAACTTTGAGCAAGAGCCGGGCAGCCCAGGAAGTTCGATGTGTCACGATCTCCGCATTCAGTGGAGACCCTCGTGCGCGGGGTCCATGCCGGCCAATGCGACTCCAGTGCAGATGTTTGTGTTCTTTTTCATGATATATATATATAGATCTATTAATTATACACATAATTTATAACATATAATTACCCTAGAAGTCCAAAGACTATATGCTGCCCCACTGAAGTAAAGCATATTCCTTGACTCGGGTCACCGAGTAAGAACATTCTTTTGATAGAATAGTCTTTGACTCCCAGGGTATATAACTACTATATAACCCATGATACACCATGAATTGAGGAGTTGTTGCACTTCTTTCTCCCATACTGCAAAGAGAGTTCCCTGTGGAATGCAGGCTTTCGACCGCCCGGTTACGCCCTGAAAGGTTAGTGAGAGGTTTTTCACAGCCCATCCCATATGTACCACTACAGGGTCCAAACGTTCAGGTCTCTCAACCTCTCTTGGTACAGAGCTCGGGGTGGTTTGCAAGGAAACCATCCACAAAACGTGGATGTGACAGGGGCACCCCGACTTCCTCCGTTCGTACGGCACCCCGTCTTGTGACTCCTGGACTGCCTTTCATTTTGCTCAACATGCTTTTAGTTTTTCGTGAGTGGCTTCATACTCTCCTATCCGCCCGAATGAATGGAACAGACTCCCTTCATTTGATATGAATGATCGGACGTATAGCCTGTTACTTGGTAGCTCCCCAGACGCTCCAAACAGCCCTTGGGTCCAAAACCATAGGGTTTTGAGGGTCCAGACCCCTCCATATGAGGGTCCGACCCTGCATATGAGGGTCCAGGAGCGTCTGGGATCAAACCACACACACAGCCATTCTTGCAGGTCACACGAACCCTCAATCCTCTTCCGGCAAGATCGCAGCATCGGCTCAAATCCACTACTACCCGCGAAAGGATCCAGCGGTTCAGAAGATGTTCCGCTGGGCACCTGAAGGGCATGTGATTTGCAGCCTCCAGCCATTTCCAGATGAAGGAAGGTGTGTCCTCTCGGTGCAAAAGACCTTTTTGCACTTGTCTCCCTCATCTCCCGAGTCCGAGTCCAGTCTTCCTCGCACCCGTGCCTCTTCGGCTCCGGCAACTCGACCTCTTCGCCGCACGACGAGCACATGGCCCACGGCCTTGACCGAGTTTGAGGCGTCGCGTGGCCACGGCCCTGAAGGGCGCGAGGAACCATGCGAGCTCATTCTAGAAGAGCTGATTCCAAGTCAGATTCAGCCGGAGAAGACGAGGGGTGACTTCGTTGCGCATGAAGCAGGACGATGTGACCCGTGCAAGTTCTACTTTGGAGTGCCTTGACTTCGTTTTCCAACAAGTGTATTTTGCAGACCACTTGGTGCCTTTCAAGGGAGGGCCCCCAAAGTGTTTAGTCATGCGGCAGCTTTACCATCCACGCATCCAGGGGTCCTTTGTTATCCTTTAGTTTTGTGCCGAGGGGTCTATATGGTTCAGTTCTGTTGTTCTGAAACAGGTTACACCTTAGCATGTGCCTTGGCTTCTGACACCCAGGTTACATCCAAGCCATGTCGCTTTGGTGACAGGTGCTCAAAATGCCACTTTTGCTCGCCAGAGGGAGCAAAGCAACGCTGGAAGACCTTGGCATATGAGAAGAGGCAGAAAAAACGAGGTGAAAAGGCTGGTCAGTAGATGCGATTCCCATCCTGAAGTAGATACTTGGACCATTGATGAACTTCAGTTTGGTCTTCAGCAGGAACCCCGAACAAACCTCAAAGCAAGTCTACTTCAGGAGCCTTTCTGCTTAGTATTTGGAGATTCAGGGTGCCGCCACAGCTTGTCTGTGCGGAAGTTAAACCCGGTTGCTCCAGCCGCCGAGTCCCGTTGAGGAGGGCCCGCGAGGGGTCGGAGGAGATTGAAGCACCACGGAAGAATGGAACACCCATCATAATACCCTCTGACTCACTAACATAGTGACATAATCTAACATGGAAGTGAAAAGCCACCTGTTCGTAGAGGAAAAGGATCTTCCCAGTGGCCATTGCCCATTTCCATGTTAGTGAGTCGGAGTGTATCCACAATGCATGCATTTGGTGCATTCATTGCTTTCATCGTTTACACGTTCTACCTTTTGCGACCTGTGAATGGGAAGGATACCTGGCATTTGGCCGGGTTGAGCTGGCCATTTGGATGCATAGCACCTTCCGGTTCTCCATTGAGCGGGACCGAGAACTCTTGGGACTAATCCTTCCGTCTCCATGAGGCATCTCCCTTGGATAGGAGTCCAGGGTCATGCTCTTTCAGTATATTTTTTCTTGGAACAAGCTGTTGGCTTGAAAGGACTTCAGCTACGTCTTCTCCTTTTGCAAGCCTTTTTTAAGCCTCAGACACGAGAAGACAGACGTTGCCCACGAAAAGGTCTTCTGGACCATCTGGACGCGAGTTAAACGGAACATAGCAGGGAAAGTGAACATTGATTGGACTAGGCAGGGACTTCCCTGTACCATCCTGCGCCACTGACATTTTTCCATGGGTGGCATTGTTGCATCGCTTGTCTTGCTCCGAGCTAGCTGTAATGAACAAACAAGCATCGTCAATTTGTGGGTGCATGCATGCTTAGTGGGTCGGAGGCCATCGCTTCTAGGTTGGAGGCCATTGCTCTTAGGTCGGAAGACCGTTTAGGCCAACTGAACAGGGTCCGAGAATCAATGACAAACTCAGCCATTCTCAGAGGTCTTTCAAAGGTGGATAAAGATCACAAAAAGGTGGATGTTGTGCACAGGAAATTCTCAAGTCACTGGAATTTCTCGGCACTCATCCTCCCTTCATCCTCCCTTCCCTCAGAAAAAGCTCGAGCCAACTCGTCGTTTGGCCAACACATTTGCCCATCCTTTCTACCTGGGCCCTCCAAAGTACCTTAGAAAATTGGACAATGACCTGACCCCCAATAACAGGTACCCATTTCCGAAATACTTTTCGAGCTACTTTCTCCAGATGTCTCCGGTTTTTGGGGGTCGACGCGGCCGACGCGGCCATCCGTTCGAACCACCCCGACCAGGTCGGGCAACGCCTTCTGCCACACCTGCGCAGCGGACCCTTCACGACTTCAGCAGGCGACGCCGGTCACGGCGGGACTTGAAGCGACCGTCGCCCCGGATGCGAACCACCGCCGACGGCCGCCCCGGCGGGTCGCGGCGTTCCACGCGCGTGGGTTCCGCGTGGGTTCCGGAGACGGCGCCAGGCATACCTAGCTGTCTTGGAGGTGATGAGACCCTTGGAGGCGAGAAGTGAGGACAGTTCCGAGAGTGGCACTCCTTCTTCCAAGAGAGGTTGAACAGCCCTATAGCCCATCCCATATGTACCACTACAGGGTCCTATATGGTCTCTCAGCCTCTCTTGGTTCGTGCGATGCTCTCAACACAGGGCTCCAGTCACTGGCCCTAAACGCACGAAGAACGGCGCCAAACACGGCTGTGCCACTGGTTGGCGGAGCTGGAGATGGTGCCAATGGTCGAGTCTTCGGTGCCCACTTCCACAGACATCCACATACTGAAAACCCATCATGATGATTTCAGGCTTGACGATGGGCATTTTTCCGACATCCTATCCTATCCACATCCATCCACATGATCATTCCGTGGTCTTCATCCTAAATCCACTTCGAGTGTATCAATCTCCTGCATCCTGGTCAGGTTGAAACCTCCAAGCTGCTCTCCCAGTGTATGCGCTGCGAGGGCAGTTCTCGTCGACTGCACGTGTCCCTTGGTGGCGAAGGGATGCACAGTCGATTGGAACTCAGTGCGCACCCAGGGAGGGTTTATTTGGGCCTGAGTAGACTGTTGGTTCCAAACTCCCCACCAGACATGGATAGAAAAAGCATATTTCAACCCTCTTCAATTCAGGAGGTTGAAGTATCATCAACAGTCTACGATGGATCAGATGGACGCAATCATGAATCTTCGCATCTATGGTATCCCCAAGCAGTACTCCTGCCACAGCAAAACAAGTCTTGCATGAGTAATAGCCAAACAACGCCAAACACTTATAGTTACATATGACAACAGTATATAACTTATAGTCAATCCCTCGCAAGACTTGAAAGCCAGGGTTAAGAAGCGTGCCGTGGATACGTTGCCAGTGAACCCGTGGTCGAGCAGCAACACTCGAGGAGTCGGTCAAGTCAAGCCAACGTCTGAGTGCGTCACCTCGACTCCGCTCTCCAAGTCCTCCCTCGGTCCGGGGTCCGCTCCGGTGGTTCGACCGGTCAAGCCCGTTTCCGCTCCGGTCGCCGCGATCGGCCGCCTCCTCAGGTCCTGCACGAACATCGACTGCTGGGGAGCTCGTGATGTGTTCACGAGTCGTTTTAGGACCGAGGACCGATGACGAGCACGGTCAGCTCATGTCCACTCGACAGGGCCGGCAACAGGGCCTGAACTCAACAGGTTGAAGCTCAGCATGATCAGTTGGCGCTCCGGCGCTCCCTCGATCGGAGAGGCCGTCCGGTTGCGAGAGATCGGTCGACCGGTTGGTGGACGAAAAATAGGTGTTCAGGGGTTCATTCATGATGGGCACCTATTTTGCTCTGGGTACCAAAAACTCTTGAGCTATATGTTGAGCTTGTTTTGAAGAAAAACGTGAGTGGATGTGGCCTGTACTGTACTCCTCTGTTCCTGGCACTCCTTGAAACCAAAGCCAGTGACGGACGCCAGGACCTTCCCAGTGACCCAACTTCAGGATTGGTAAGTCTACAAACCTGTTGGTACTTCGTGACCTCAGCCACTGGGATCTCAGCCGGGTCACTGGGAAAGGTCCTTGGAGGAACTGCTCTTCCAACGGCAGTTCTCACGGTCCAGTCGGTCCCAGGTCCCATTTTCTTCCGTCGCCAACAAGCCTGGCGAGAGCTGAATGATGCAAAGGTGGGGACCGACCAACTCTGCTGGGGCAGTTGGGAAGATCCGAGAAACCACCCATCGAAAAACACTCTGCAGGATGCGTAGATAGACTACTCGGAATAGCTTGATTCTTGGGCAGAAGGGCTGGGCTTGTTGCCTGCCATCCATGGCAGGCCGTTGGGTTCGAACCTTTCGGGTTGACCGGCGACAAACCCGGGTGCCAGGGTCGGTGCCGGGGCGGACGTGGGGATCAGTGAATCACATGCCAGACACGACCTGCTTGGGACTGCCATATGTGCCGAGAAACGGCCAGGGGTGGTTGACTGGGGGTCTGGCTTGATCGGCAGTCCTATGGCAGTCCCGTGTTTGGGCATTGAACATCATTGACTGCCTTGAGCTGTTTTAGTCGGGGTGCCCTGTCTGGAGACCTGTATATGTAGTGAGGTGACCCCGAACGGAAGCAGCTGGTGTTTTCTTCTTTTTGAACCAGGTTTTCTTCTTTTTAAAGCACATTCCCTTTTCCTCGGTGATTTGTGGTTTGAACATGTTTAGAACTGCGATTGTAAAGCTCCTGGCTGAGAGCTCAAGCTACAGCTACAGCTGCTCAAGCATTATATAGGGATAGATACTTGAGCTCCGAATATCAATGTAACTATAATGCACCAGTAGCACCAACATTCAAGTTCTCTTCCTGTTTTGCTGTGTTCTTGCTTGTTTGAATTCATGGGATACATGAAACTTTTCAAACGGCGTGATCACGTTCCCACTGTACCTTAAGATGTGCTTCCAGTTCTTGAAGATGCTCAACAAAAAGGGTCCCAACACCGCTGGTTCACTCCCAACACCTTGTGGCCAAGCAGGACAGCTCTTTTTCTCCACAAAAGGTGGCTCCACAGGTGGCTCCACAGATGCAGACCATCGGATGATATCCTTCCTTCTTGTCTAGTTTCGATGCATTTTCGTGGCCGAACTCCGAAGATCCTTGTGGGGAGATGCCTAGACTGTAGGGGTTGAAACACCCTTGACTTCTTCCGTCGAAGTTGCCAAGAACCCTTGGCCACACGACTCGGCAGGAGTCCTTGTGCAAGATACCAAGTCTTGCGACGCAATGGTGAGAGTTGAGTGAGGCAGCACCACCTCCGTTTGCACTGGAGCCGCCGTTGTGGAGCCACCGTCCAGCCGCGGCCGGCAGGAGGAACGTGAGGAACGTCATGTCATGGCTTACGGCAGGTGCTGTAAGTCAATCCGTGTCAAACCCAAGAAGCACTGGTTGTTGGAACGACAAAGGATTTTGACCCACACTCACATGAAGAGCCTTTGAATGCCTTTGATTTTTGGCAGCCGAGACAACGGACTAGCTACAGTGTGAATGATCAAATGTGGCACTGTGTGTATATAGAGCTACGCTCGAACCTCGCCCCAGGTTCTTTATGCGACTGCTTGGACCAAACGTTTGCTTTACGAATCCAAACACACACACACACCATTCATGCCTGAGATTGCCATATCGTGGTTCACTTGTCATATCTCACATGATCGCCTCATTTCAATGATTTCACGCCTTCCTGTTCGCCTGAAAAAGCAAACGCCGATCGTTCCCCAGATCCAACGCCGATCCGCACGCGTGCAAGACGTGTGCCGGGAACGAGCGGCCAAGCTGCCAATGATCCAGTTAGCGCTTGTTCGACGGAAAAATCCAGGCGTTTCGTTTTTCTTTTTTTAGGAGGCGTTTTTTTCCCCAGCACTCTCCAGGGTACAAGAAACAGAGAGCTACACTCCCTGAAATCATCATGCTTACAGTAGGGGACTGAACGTTAGAATATGTTAGAACATGAAAAGCCAATCCAATGTCCCTACCTAGATACGTGGAGTGAGTGAGGGAGTGAGTTCACCAACTGTTTTGGTATGTTATTCACATGGGAACATCTTGCGATCATCTAGGTAAACGGTCCCTGGAACTGGAGGTCAACATGGTTCCGCAAATGGTCTTCCAAGGGAGTCCACTTCCGTGTGAGTTCCAGGGTTTGTCACCATCATCGCTCGACCGGTCGACTCGACTGGCACAGCGTGGCTGGCAGAAGGCCGTATACAGGCAGCTGACAAAGCTTACCCCAAACCATGAAATCAATAGAAATCCAAGGGGGACGAGCAGGCATGGCATTGTCATTTCCCTGTATAGTGTAGACTGGACTGTCTTTTTTTCATGTTTCATTTCTCACCCAGGGCCTTTTCAAAAGCTTTACAATCCATGTCTGGGGAGGTGTTATGTACCTCAAGAGTCTGCAGAGGCCGCTGTCCCATCTCGCTGTCGCCCGGTCCTGGTGGCCCAAAAAGCAGTCGGGGGGCCATGCAAAGTGATGGCCGGCCTGGCTGATGCCGAAGCTTGGTTTGGTTTGAGGCCAGCCCTGTGAATGCTATGTTTAAATGTCATTGCATCTTCACCAATGTCTGGTTGTATAATGACTAATCAAACATACAGTATTATATATATATATATGCCAGGGGTCACAAGACGGGGTGGTGTTTGGTCCCATCCAGTGAGTGGATGTGACAGGGGCACCCCTAGCCTCCGTTATTGTTCAACTACTAAATGGTAATCCAGGAGTCACAAAGGAGTGGGGTGGTGAAGCATTCCTCCCATCCGGAACTCGGGGCCGCTTTGAGCTGTGACGTGACGGCACCGCACCGATCTATCTTCCTCCTCTCCGGAACTCGGCACCCCGAGCGACATGCGACTCCGGGAGTTGGTTTATGGTGGTTTCATAGTGGTTTCGGAGGTTCGATGGCACAGACCCCAAGACTAGAGGTGGTTTTACATCTGAACCCCCCCATGTCAAGGACATCTTCTCACGAGGTCTGTGCCCTCGAAGCTCTGAAACCACACCTTTTGTGTTCTCAAGCTCGGCGAATCCAGGGACTCAGTTTGGGCCAATAGACATCGAGCACCTGCGGTGACGTGCATCCCCCGATTTACTTGTCGTGGTGAATATTGGTTGTTGGCCCGGTTCCGAGTTCGACCGCCCGTCCAATCCCAGGAACGCATTGATAAGGAGGTCCGAAACCCGCGCAGATGGGATGTGTCGGTCAGACGTTGTTTTGTTGTTTAAGATGTTCAAGAGAACAGAGACGTAGATCTACAACTCAGTTGGATTTTCCAGGATGGTCAGTGGTCAGTACACGCTGAAGCTAGGAAGTTCCGGTCTACTAGAGTCAGAGGTTTCCTCATGAGTTGGAAAAGGAGCTGCTGGTCGAAGTGGCAGCGCCGTTGAACTGCAAACTTGGCCCTCACATGGCACCCGTGCAGCTGCTGGCAGCAGGAGCTGCTAGATGCTCTCTCCAAAAAGGCTCGCCTGGCCGAGAGAACGGCATCGCTGTGCATGAGCCGCATCAGCCCTTGATAGGTGGATCAGCAGGTTCGTCTTCGAAAGGCTTCTTCTTGTGGCATATTTTCTGACAGTTCTTGGAAGTGAAACAGATTCCAAATCCACCACATGTTCTTTAGATTTGCACGCGGTACAACAGTCAAGAAGAGAAACCAGTGTCAGGTCGTAGAGCTCGTTGACGCGGAGCTATAGGTGATGCCATAGAGACTATAAGCAACTGACCAACCTTTTCGTTCTTCTCTTTTTTGGTTTCTGTATCTCCCCCTCTCTCCCTCTCTAACTCCCTTCCTGCGTGCTACTTTCAACAATGGCATTGTCAAAGTCCCAAGTGCCCCTTCCTTGTTCTCCAGCAGAAATCAGCCAACTTCTTCGATCGCAAAGCATCACTTGCAGCACCTGGTTCTTCACAGCAAGTCGACCGCTCGACACATTCGCCCCTCGCAGCCTGCAGGAGGGGGACATCGAGGTCTCACCCGAGGAATTCGTGGACACCGATCCCTTAGAGGAGGTGCCGCACTGTGGCGCTTCGGGCCGACATCCACGACTCGTTTTTTTGGAAGAAGCGAGCGAAGGTCGAGACGCGGAGCTTAATCCGAGGTCAAAGCCCAAGCTGGACCCTGTTCGGGTGCGTTGGTATTCGGAAAATCGACACTCAAGAGACTCCCTGACAGTTCTTCGCTTTTTGTATGGGTCTTTCGTGGTCTTACTAGGCTCTCGTGATTCGATCCACCAGCTGGAAGAGCATCAACTCATTGCCACAGCTGGCTGCCAGGGCCGGGGTTGGTTCCTCAACGGATGAACCTTCAGAGTCCACGCTCCTTTCAGCCGGGTTTCGCTGCTCCGAACCGCCAGGAAGGCCCAGAACCGGAAGCCCAGGCGGGTGCGCTCCGCAGTGAGGGGCTGCGGAGATCGACACAGGTCGCATGTACCGCCTCCAGAGACGTTCGTTCTCTAGAGTTCATGGGACATGACCCGAAGAAAACAACGGGTATAGTGACTGTACCAACTTTAGAGACTCCAGGTAGATCATTTTGGGGATGGGTCGTGCCCACCTTCGTGCCCGATGTTCTTTGTCCTGGCGCCATGACCCACAGAAATTTGAGTGTGAACTTCCTCAAAACACTTTTTGATGCTTCCTGAATACGTTTTGATATTTTAGTTTACTTTTTTGATATTTAAGTTTGACTTGAGAAAGGGGGGGTGGACGAAAGGTTGGGAAGCAATCGAAGGTCAGCAGCAGACCAGCAGCAAGCCAGCAGCAGACCAGCAGCAGTCCAGCAGCGAAGTAAGTGATCTTTTTCCCGCAGAGCTGAACCTGTTGACCTTTTTCGCGTGCCTTCGACTTGCGCGCTGACTGCGCTTCGACTTGGACCGGCAGGAGCTCGATCCAGGCTTGCTGGAGTTTTTAGAAGCCAGCGACAGCGATAAGGACGGGCCAGTGAAGCTGAAGCTTCTGCATCTGAAGATTTTGGGCCATTTGTGACCGTGTTGTGACAATGAACTGCAAGGTGTTTGCTGCTCTGCTGCTCTACTGCTTGATACTTGCTTCCATCAAATGTGGTTTTCTTGATCAAGTGTAGCTAAGAGTATGTGCGATAAAGATATGACCTGGACCATCCAAGGGGTGTTGAATGGGTCTCTAAGTTCAGAGGCAAGCGGAAAGAAAGGGTTGTGGAAAGGCCCGGGACTTCAAGTAGTAAACGTGTATATAGTCGATTGGACACCTGTTGGATGCTCCTGGTTTATGATGGTTTATGTAGATCTAAGGATTGTGTCTTACTTACCAGTAGAGGTCGGTTTCCGAGATGAAAAACATCGATCATGATTCACATGTTTGGGGAAAGGTCTGTATACAAAGCACCTCTCTGCAACATGCGACAACAACGATCCATGCCGAGATCACACGGACACAGACCATCGGTCCCCGGAAGACCGCCATTCACGGCCCTTCATGGACTGCACCGTTCGCGACTCGGCCGGTTGAGAGTCCACCTTCGACGGGGGGACGCCCAGGAGCCTCAAGCTGGACCCTCGGAGCAAGAGTTAGGCGAGAAGTCCCTGAGTCGAGCGTGCTGGCAGCGTGCATCGAAGAGGTTTGATCCAGCCACTCCAGTGTGGCCAAGCAGATCATCGTGGAAATTGGCTCCTCTAAGTGGTCGAAGATGCACAATTTACAAGTCCAGTTTGACCCAGTATAACTTGGTCTTTTGCATCCTTAAGTCGTGTTTTTGTATGACCACGACGTGCAGTAAAATGAGGTCATTGACCTGTAGGACTAATGAACATAATTTCTTATCACTTTTACGACTCTCTTCATGACTGTTTTGATGAGACGGAACGGCGGGAATGCAAATGCATCCGCATGCTGTTTCCCTGCCGGAACGGCATGTGTCCCTGCTGTTCAGACCCGTTGACCAATGCGTCCTGCGCTGGCTTTGCAGGCGAACTTCTGGAGGAGAACGCCAGAAGCGAAAGCTTCAGAGAGCAACTCAGTGAAGACTTCATGGCAGATATGGGGGTTCTTAATATACCAGGACCCCCTAAGGGGTGTCGATTGATAGCCCCGAAAAGAGGTTAAGGGGTGTCCATGAACCACCCCGACAGTGGGTCCTAGTATATGGTTCTATTTTTTTAAAGAGCACTCTTCTCGTCCTGTTCGCTGGGTAGACTGGTCCCGATGTCCCGAACCCCAGGGGGTCTGGCGATACACACCTATGTATGACCTTTAATAGCTGCAACTCGCTCGTATGTGGGGTCTGTATCAGAATAAGGAGACTTTTTTTGTGTTTTTTCCCCGCTTGCAAGTTAATTTCTTTCTCTCACCCATGGATCTAAATGGCGATCTCCCTCTTCCCCTGACAGTGCATGCAAAGTTGCATGCAATCATGGCATATTTACCTACCAGGACCATCCGAGTGTCCAAAACAACAAAAATCACCAAGTGGTGTCAGGGTATGGTCCAGGTACCTTGGGCTGGCCGGTGTTTGGGTGGGTTTTCTTGTAGGTCCATATTCCACTTCAATGGGATGGGTTTCTGGTACTCCCAACACCTCGCTTCTCCCGTCGGGATTTTTGTGGGACCCGGTGTTTCACCTGGCCTAGTCCACTGGATCGACTGGTGTCTCTCCTTTGGGAAAACCTCTGTTCTTTGGGCAAATCCATAGCTAGCGGTCACGGACCTCCAATAGCTTGAAAGTCCAAGTCTTTTGGCAAATCTGGTGGTGATGCATCTGGTCTCTGATGTCAGACTTCACGGTGAACCGACGACCGACGCCTTCAAGAGGGACTCACCTCGTCATGAACGTGGTGATTTCATGGTGATGAAATGGTGCGTTTGGTGGTCCCCAACACGTTTCCTCTACACCATGCCGCTGGTTGACCACACCATTCTGAATTCAAGCGGGGGATGCATGGTGGGTATTTTTGCATTCATTCTTCGAGGATCCATTGGCAGAGTGGCAAAACCACAAGCTGGTTTTCATGAATCATTAGAGGCCCCATTTGGGTCCAACCTTGGAGAGACTGGCACAAGTGGAAGAAACAAGGCACATCTCTGAGCATCTGAGCATCTCTGAGGCGCAGGAAGATCGGTCTGGACCCTAACTGAGAACTACCCTGCAGAGGACTAGATGAGAAATAGTCTGAACCAGGGTGTAGCCGCCAAGGCTGAAACTGCCTAGGCTGAACCGGTCGCCCTGACTGGTGCTCGAAGAACGCTGCGACCAGTCAGGGCTCTTTTTCTCAAGGGAGATTTCTCGAAGTGTTTTGTTTGTTATATATTTTTTTTTTTATGTATGCAGTTATTAGATGTTATTAGATATTAATAGTTAAATATTACGTGTTTGGTGTTTTCTGAAGCAGGAAGATCTAGCAATTCAATATGATTTGTTTGTAGATGGTTCGCTTTGCCTTGAGCCAATTTCTGGGAGAGACTCAGACGTTTTGGGAAGCAACGCAGACTGGTCGAGGGGCTACACATGCAGACCTTGCTCTGCCAATGATATTTTGCGCAATGCGTTGCTTGCCGTGACATGCCGAGGATAGCAGCTTATATATACATACTTGCGGACGAATCCCACTCACGTGTGCCCAGGCGGAATTATTTCCACCTATCCGCACAATCCTGAGTCGACTCCTCAGTTCTTCCGCTTTTGTAAATTTAGCACGCGAAACAGCCAAACAGCGCATTTTACTTGTTTCTGTAGTTGCACGTCTTTCCAGCCTGCACTTCTCATTGAACACACATTCACACCAAGACTTGATATTCAGTGGATGAAGATGAACACATTGACAGAAGGCTTTGATTACTTTAAGACTTTCCCTTCCTAGATCTTCCTAGAAGTTGTCTTTGAACAGAAGGCATCAAAGAGTCACTGCCAACTATGGCCACAAAAACCTGCGACCTGGTAGGTGAATACTCTCCAGGAAAAGAGACCTTTTTGTCACACCTCACTCAACTTTTATGACCAACTCATTATCTTCACCTCCCAACCTGATGGTCCCAGTGTATCTTTGTTCTCCCTATGGCACCGACGCCTCTGGCCGCACCGAACCACCGAAATTACCGCGGTCCGAGGTTCAATGTGACCCTGGGACATCAGCGCATCAATAAGACGGTGGAGCGATTGCAGCATGACCACGCAGCCAAGGTGGGGCAAGATAGACAGGTTTTGACATTCCCGCCAGACATGACGTCAGTGGGGTTTGGGAACACAAACACGTCACCTTGCTGTAGTTGATTTTGATACCATTAAGGATGCTTGGACCCTCCTTAGAAGGGGTCGAAGCCTGCGGGTCACAGGGGTGATCCGGGCCCCTCGTTTTTTGAGGGTCCGGATCCTTAGGATATCCGTGTGACCTGGGGGGTGGGTGCAATTGGCCCGCTCGAAGTTCCAGATTTCAACGCATCCAGATCCATCCAGTGCTTCAAGCGAAACGCGTGCGTTTCGCTTGACTTTCCCCCCCAGGCAGTGCTGTTCTCCCTCGTGTTCTTCGTCCTTCACGGTTTTGGTGCTTCGAACCCCCCCCCCTTTTCGGACCCACCGAACTCTCGTCCGACCCGAACCGCTGGTATGAGTTCGGAGAAACGGGGGCCCGGACCAGCCGAACCAACGTCGGAGCTGGGGACACTGGGGTCACTGGGGACTCTGTCCGTCCCAAAAAACCGATTCCAAACCACTCTGCGTCCGTGCGCGGTGGAGCTCTGGAGCTTGCTTGGAGCTGGGGGCGTGCGTTCGCGTGTCGCGTGTGCTTGTTTCCACCGTTGGTTTCGCAGTGTGTGCTTTTTGGGTGGTGTTCGCGGAGGTCCAGGCAGCCTCGGACGCCAAGATCAGCTTGGAGAAAGAGGCGGCTGACGACTCCGAGTTGAGCTGTAGCTGGTTAGGAGGGAGCGATTCAGGAGGGAGGGTATCTACCTTCAGCACCAAAGGCTATTTTAAAGGCGTGAACGCAAAAACATCGGGTTTCCACACACATTCTGAAATACATCGGGCTTTGTCAACAAAACAACGGGTTTTCCAAAAGCACATATTTTTGACATTCTAAAAGGCTTTTTGTTGATGCATAAAGGCATTGAATGGGCGTCCGTTTGTGCCCGGGTCCAATTTTATTCCTCCAGCCAGCTCGCATACTGCACAAAGAGAAGCAAGAGCAACAACTGACATAATTTTATCTAGAAGGTTTCTGCTCTGATTATACAGAGTGGTGGAGAACATCACCAAAGACCTTCACACCTCAGACATACTGTGATGCAAAAATAACGGGTGGATTTCAAACCCGTGCCGTACTCGTACTTTACCCGTACTAACCCGTACTTTTAAACATATATTGGGATATTTAGGGTATTTGAAAAAATCACATTCACAACCCGTGCCAACCCCTGCCAAGCCCGTATGTTACTTGTACAAAACCGTTTCTTTTACTGGGTCGGTTGCACCTTCAAATGGAACATGTGTGAATTATGTTCTTAACCGTTTTGCATTTTTGTTGGTCTATACACGCCTGAAAACACAATCATGTTTGTTGCTTATATTTGGGGAGGCCTTCTGATGGGTTCAAGCTTGAGAAATTCAGTGGCACGCAGCCTCAATTCCTGATGAAAACTGCGAGCGAAAAGGTGACAGGATGAGAAGGGGTCAGTGAAACATCATGAAAAACATCTATTTTCAAAAACATCCAACGGTTCTTGTTGCGGTAAAAAGGAGCCGGAGCTACGGGGAAGTTCCTGAACGTACTTGCTAGATGTGTTCTATATAAACCATCGCCTTCAATGACCAGTCAAAAAATGGTTGACTTGGTTTAGTGGTGTAACATCCTTAGTAAAACAAGGGTTCTTTGGGATGAAAAAGACCATTAACACAAGGGAGGTTGGGCATCTGTTGGGAATCCCGCACTGCTCACTGTGCTTTAGCCGACCCACTCCAGGAGCAACGCTTGAAGCACTTGCAGAAGCAGGCTGATTCCCGGCCCTTGAGAGGTTGAACATGGGTGATTCACAGCCCTTGGCTTCGCCCCTTTCGACCCATCAAGGACAGCCTGAAGGTCTGAGTTCAGGTCATCCTAACCTCTCCTGGGCCGGATCTGCCGTTGGAAGCACTGCTGAAGCTCCGTCCGAAACCTCCGACGGGCGACGGGCGACCGATGCAGGCGTCTTCCCCCGCCGGTGGATTCGGAGGTATCGATGCAGTCGTCCGAGCTGTGTGAGTACAGAGAGTTGGATCCGGGTTTCGGCACGGATCCTTGGGGTTAGGACGAAGCAGTGGCGCTGTCGGACAAAATTGGTACATGACTACGACAAACATGGCCCCCTTGGTATCCCTTGGTGTCAAATGTTTCTCAAAAAACATTGCCATATATATTGCCATGATCAAAAGAGGCACCTCCAAACGAGCTGATCAACCCTGCCGCCATGTGCTTGCGACTATTGACCTGCCATGGATGTGGACGCTGAAGAGACTCCTGCGACACCGTCGCCCCTCTTTTCCTGGGTGGGAGCTTTGGAGTCTCAGTCCGGCCACTTGACAGTAATAAAGGCGTATAACAACCAGACCCAGACAGTCCTGTTGGTTTTGAAGCGATTTCTTACCATATGATCCATATAGAGGTTACTCTTAGACCTACTCTTAGACCCAGACAGTCCTTTTGGTGAAGGGAATTCTATACCAGCGAACTTTAAATATCATTTATAAAGCATCTTTAAGCCAGTTGGACCAGATGGACAGCCAAGGCCAAGGCCGTGAAGTCCATGAGGCCTTCTCATCCTATGTCGATTCCCTCGCTGAGAATCTCTCCAAGCCCGTCACTCCGGCAGACACCGTGCGACGCCCGGACAGTCGTTTACCCCGGTTTCGGTGTCTCGGTGTCTTTCGTTTCAGACAGATTTTTATGTTTTGAACACCCCAAGCCATCCCGTTATAAACCACGATATTTCGCTGGTAACCAGTTCCAAAGACTAAAGCCATAGACCGGCAGAAAGCCAAGTTCTGTAGAAAAAGTGGCAACTGGGATGTACTGGGAACCTTTATACTCTGGATTTATTTCTTCTATCCTTGAATTTTAGAGTACTGTCATTTCTTCTAGCCTTGAGGTTTGGGATGATTTTTCACCACGGACGGACTTTTTTCGCGAGTGGAAACCAAAAAGCATGCAGGTATGCGTTTCAAGGACCTCGGGCAGCTCGAGCACTGCTCGGCTCGCCACCGGCAGATCGCGCTTTGGCGTATGCCAAGGTGGCTGACAGGGTCATTGGAGACCTGGATCGGCTGGGCCTGGCAGTGCGTGCCCGCCGAGCCCGACGGCAGCTGCCAGCGGAGGGCTCCTCGCCGCGGCCTGTTGAGGATCGAACGCCTCGCAGAGTTCGGCCGATCGAGGCAGGTGGTGCTGAGCAGTGCTATCACCAGAGACTCCAGAAGACTGCCAGGGAGTATCTGGAGCGCTTTGGTGAGGAGGGCGAATTGGACCTTGCTGGGGCACGGGAACTCTTCAAGAAGACTGCAGGATTGGAGTCTAGAAGCTGCTATACTGCTGCAGGCCTTGAACGAGATGCTTTCAAGCAATTGGGCCAGTTGACAGAGCGAGAGCTGGTTTCCTTGATTGATGCCGGTGGAGGAGCTTTGGGGTTCTGCCAAGCAGAAGGCCGTTTGAATGTGAATCGACCCTCAGCGGACGCCAGTGCAGTGACCCTCCGCTGTGAAGAAAAGCCCCTGGTGACCCAAGCAGATTGGAACGCCAGCTTCGGGCAGCCGCCCGCCTGGAGCGCGGCCACCGGCCGGACCGGTGGACGGAGGAGCCATCGGCAACAACTTCGGGAGGAGCTGAGGGCGGAAGGATTGCCTCCATCCATCACGGCTCTTCATGATAATGTGGCCTTGGCACGGGTTGGAAAAGCTGTGCTGGATGGGGATGCCAATGAACTGCTCCTCTTGGGGAGAAAGAACTCCTTGTGGCGTGGAGCCAACCCCAGCATCCTGGCTCCTGAATTGCAACAAGTGCTTGGGACTCAATCTTGTCGATTTCCTCTCCTTTTTGTGGCCGCCTTCCGTGGGGACATCACCATTTGGAATTGGCTCACGTCCTGGCTACGCGCAGACGATGACTTGCCTGCTCACTTGCTGGAAGATGTAGAGGGCTGGTACTTGCCCATCATCCTTTGTATGGCTCCGCCGCGTCCAAACCAGAGCAAGGACAGCCAAAGCCTCTTACAGAGCTTTTTTCAGTTGGGGGGCGGTCAACTTGAGCGTTTGCCCATCTCTATATGTTTGCTTCTCCCCTGGAACGAGCATTGGGAAGGTGATGCCTCAGCCCAGCCATTGCACCTGCTGTTGGAGCGTGACACGTGGCCGTGCCTGGTCGAGCAGCTGGTGGCTCACGGCGGCTTTCCGCACAGCGAGGAGCCCGGGCGAATGGCGCTGGTGGGGCGCATTCTGGCAGAACACGGGAAGATGAAAGAGTTTCTGGACGCCTGTGCAAAGGCTGGCGAAGATCTCCGGCCTCAGAGCCAAGCCATGGCAGGGATGTATTTGGGCATCTTAAAGAACACGGTGTCCGAGCTTAGATGTCTTCAAGCTTTACAGGCGTTGTTGGAACATGGCCTTTTGCCATATGCACCACTCACACCTTCGTTGGGGCAGTGGCCCTTGCATGCGGCTGCGCGACACAATTGTGTACCAGTGGTGAAGGTGCTGCTTGTGGCCAAGGCGGATCCGTTTTCTCGCAACGTTCATGGGCATACAGCTTTGGATGTAGCGAAGGCGAGTAGGTCATGGGCAGTGGCAGCGCTCATACGCCGTGCCCCGCAGAAGTATGCGGAGGACATGGCCCAGGCGTTTCTGCGGCATTTGGAAGCTCAGGCGCGGGAGAAGGATGTGCTGGCGGTGGCTAAGGCTCTAGCTGACATGGTTCAGCAGGCAGAGGCCGAGAACATTTAACATGCAGATCGTGCCAAGTGTTCTTTGCCTGCGAAGGGAGGCTCTTTTGTTGAACAAGGCAATGAATTTGACATTTGGCACAGCCGGCAAAGCCGACTACACACACATGTCGCTGCCAAAGATGGTTCCTAAGGAACCCCGCGGCAACCGTTTAATGCTTCTTGCACTCAGACATAGTTGCACATGTGAATCTCCTGGCTGCTGGGTTGCAGGGCTCACCGGCTGCTTTCTTTCGCCACGATCGTGTAGTTTGGCCAGTCCTTTCAACTACAGCGTTCCACGCTACGCCAGGCGGCTGCGGGTCAATTGATCAACCTAGCCAAGCTTTCACAGCAGGTCGGACTGGGAAGTCGAGTGGCAAGACCTCTGTCAAGACATGGTCTTTCGTGGTTGGGATACCGATCATGAACAGAATAGACTACCTGGGAGTTCAACCTAACACGGCCAAATCACCTCTCTTGTCATCGCTTTGAATTGGAGACCATCGTGGCCGCAAGCGTTGAATTGGATTGGAGAACATCTTTGCTTTTCACGGTTGCAAGCTCAGTTGAGTCTAGGAGTTTTGCAACAATCGGAGACTCACCTGTTCAGGAGGTGGAAGTTCGAAAAGCCTGGGAAAAGCTGACCAGGTGGGGCCGGGAAATAATTAGCAGAGGATTTGCTTGAAAAGGATCTGAGGCTGAGTAGAGAAGATGCATGCGAGCAGGTGGCTCAGTCATGTATCTCCGACAGTTAATTCTCTTGTCGCTTGCAGCTGCTACTATATACGTTTTGTAACATTTTGTAACCGTTAAGTAGTCAAGACTCCAATGCTTTGCCTGTTTTGTGTTTGCCTGCCTTGTCATGCAATACTTGCCCTGTCACGGTGTGGTGGAAGGACACAGGCAACCAAAGCAACACGCTTTGGATGGAGGAACAATGCAGCTCGCCCTTTGGCGAGTAAAAATCAACTCAACAAGTTATCATTTCCAGGGCACATGTCCGGCTCACCACCGTCTTCAGCCACGAGTTGGTTTCTCTTAAATGATCCTAAATTAATCTGATTTCTCAGCTTCATTTTTGGACATTTGCTGATGAGGAGAGATTCCAAATGGATTATCTGATAACTTGACAGAGGGTGTCTCATCGATGACCCATAAGACTCATGTCTTACTCATTGCCTCATTGCTTAAACAATATACCAGCACCTTCATGTCGGGGTCAGCTGGCTGGAAGCCCCCTACTATCCGGGATCTCCAGACAGGACACCCCGAAAGAAGGTCCAGGTATATAGAGACAAAGCATATCCCAGACACTCCATGTCTGTCATATATGCCTACATTGACCCCCCAAACCACCCCAATGTAGGTGAATATGCCATACTTGGAGTGTCTGGGTATTGAAAGAATCAGATCATCGAACCTCCTTCTGCCCGAGCACCGAACCCGCACAAACCCGGTCACCGGTCAGTCGAAGACTCGTCGCGACACCGACTCGCGACAGAATGGACCAACAGCGCGATGCAGCTGAATTGGCCCTCTTGAAGGCCAAGCAGGTGCACGCGCGCGGTGTTTTTTTTTGGTGTTGGGGGGATCACGGGCCGTCGAAAAAATAGCAACGCGCCGTCTTTTTAACCATTTTCTGAAGACAAAGCGTTTAATTATTTGTGAGATCTCGAGCTGACATGAGCTGACATGTTGAGAACATCTTCTTCACCGGTACGTGGATGTAAGGATCCATGACGAACAGCAACGAAGCAACGAGCCGATGCTCCATTCCAGTTCGAAGAGTAACAAAAAGGGTTTGCTTCACATCCAAACGAAAAGGGTCTGAAGCATTTTTTTGTCAGATTTAAACCATATGTTCCAGACAGGGTTTCTATGTCATTGATCCAATCTGCAGTGAAATGTATGCCTGCGCGGGTGAGTCGTTTCTTTTCCTCCTCCTTCCCGTGTTTCTCCAGGGAGGCGGCGCTTCCTCGCAGTATGCCGGCAAGGAGCTGTTGGTATGTTTTTTTTTTTTTGGGGGGGGGGAAAAGCAACACGTCGTGGATGCTGAACTTGGGATGGATGAAAGGGAGCCGCGCGTCTGGTTTTTGAGGGTTCTTGTTGAGGGGAGATGGGTCTTCGTAGTTTCTTTATGCCCGAAGGATCCGGACCCTCAACAACGCCCAGGGTTTGGAGGGCCCCCAAAGCCCTGTGATAGAGCGTTCGACCCCTTGAACAGGAGGATCCGGACTCGGACATCCCCAAGGGGTAGAATCGACCAATGGACCTTCAAGAAGCTTCAAGAACCAATGCGGCTCTCAGGACCACTCCACTTGCTCAGTCCAAGGCTAGTCTGTGTGGTACAGCTCGGTCAACCATGGTCAACCAGTGGGGAATGGGTTCCTGGGGAACACCTCACCTATACACATGATCTCAGGTTGAAAAGGGTGAACCTTTTGTCGACCTGTTGTTTATTTTGCATGATTTCCTAGTAGTTGATCGGGGAAGATTGCTGAAGTCCCCTTGAAATTCTCCTAGATTCACCCTTCGTGCTGTTCACATGCTCTCTATCCGGATCACGAGACAGTCAGACTCTCAGACCATTCATTTTTTGAAGTCCTAAGCGCTTTGAGGATCTTTAGGTCATGGGCCATACATAGTATTTATTTACATAGTATTTACATAGTATTGCTTCGGCTTTCACTGCATGGTCAGACTCGGCTGAACTCACGACCACCTTCACCACCTTCCCTCCCTCCCCTCTCCAACCACCGAGCCTCCTCACCGACTGAGTCGAGGAGCATCAGGCAGCGAAGGACGTGGCCAAAGAGCTGCAAGCGAACGAGGCACGAACTGCAGCGAAGCGAGATCAAACCCGGGCGGTTGTTGGGGTGTTTTCAGGGGCCCAGTTGAAGAGACGAAGAGAAGAAGGGGGACGGTAAGAGATCGAAGAGAGGAAGGGGCCCGATCAGGGTGGGTGGGAGATGGTGAGGGTGTATTTATGATTTGCTTTCTTTAAAGTGGGATTTTTGTGGAGGATGCGAACATCCATCCAACGTCACAGGAAATGCGGAGTGTGCAGAGTTTGGCTGGGCATTGCAAGCATCCTGCAGATGTATAGATGACAGTTTGAATCTTTTGTAGTGAACCCAAGAAACTGACAAGCCCAGACGCAACCCTGGACCCTAAGTAGGGGCCCTTTGCCCGAATCCTCGGGTCAGGGGTCCCGAACTAGTCCCTATCGTTTTGAGGGGGTCGGCCTGTTTTTCACGGAGCGTCTGGGTGGTTTCTTAACCCTAGACTTCCAAGACCATTAAAAAATGGTTGACCTGGTGTCATGTAGTGTAAAATCCTTAGTTGATTCGGCAAAGCCTATTAAATTAAGGGTGGTTGGAAGCCTAGGGTAAAAGAAATCACTCTCCGCTCATTGTCTGAACATCGGTTTCCGCAAGGAGCATATGCACGTCGACGTCGTTGAACCGAGGGGACGTACGTCGAGACCAGACATCTGTTCATAGGGACGTCACCGAAGAAAGAATAACCATTGTTGAACCGAGGACCCTGGGAGTCAAAGACTATCAAAAGAATGGTCTGACTAGGGGACCAACCATTCCCTAGAAGTCCATGTTCGACGATTTTTTGACCGGCTGAAGTGTTCAGGAAGTTCCCGAACTCAGGTCCCCTAGTCAGACCATTCTTTTTAGAGTCTTTGACTCCCAGGGCATTGTTGAACTGAGGATGTTAGGCAAACTTAAAACCAGGTCAACCCGGTACCTATACGAACGCATTGGGCATTTTTTGCCGAAGAAGAACAAACACACACCTCATCGCGATGTTCATGGTCCCTCTTTCTTTGTATATTTTATATTACCTGGAACCCATTTTGACCTTTGTTTTGATGGGAAAAGGCCCTATTTTGGGTGGTTGGTGGTCCAAAATAGAGGTCATTCAGGTTCCTTCCCGGCACGGGGCGGAAGCGTCGAGGCGGTTTCCCGGTCGTGGTGCGGCATGTCGACGGCGCCGGTGTCCCACCGAACGAAGCCTCCCCAACACCCCCGGGCGACCGCGCGCGCGCCTTCCCAAACCGTTTGGACCCCGAGCCCGGTAGTGGTGGCTTGCCATCCTCTTCATGTGAAAACCATATTGTATTAATCAAGACTTGCGGAAGGCACCGATTCGGAACATGGACACACATCCCAAAACATGATCCAAACAACATCTCCACACATCTCCGGGTGTCCAGAGGTGAGGTCCAGCGGGGTCCATTCAGCACTCCGACTGGGGGGGGGTTCCAGGTCCCAAAAACGTCGACGTCTTTCGTCACATCACATCACGTCCTTCGTCGAATCCCAGACACCTCCATGGGACTGGCATATACCTACAGTGCTCAGGTGCTTTGGAGGGTCTGTCTGGGGCAGCAGTCCGAACTGGCAGTCCCAGACTCGTCGTGTCTGGGACTCGTCCTCAGGTGCGGAGGGCCAAGAGAGCCATCGAGAAGGTCTTGACCTCAGAGCCAGGTCGTACACCCGGAAGCCAAGTCGCGGGTACCGAACACCCTTCGGTGTTCGGCCCCGAAATGGGGGGAACCCGGGGATGTGTTCGGCACCGGTAGGTCCGGTAGGTGGTTTGGACGTCTGTTACATGTGAAGGAATCGGATTGGCCCCGAGGTTTTCGAAATCCCAGATCCTGGGATCTCTTTTCCTGACGATGTAATGACTCGGCGGTTAGTGAAGCTTCTGAACATGCCAAGGACGTCAGATCTATCATGTCCATCACAAGGATGAGTGAAGGACCTGTATCACTTCGCAAGTGGTATCAGCCATCAAGGGCCATATAGCTCTTCCGGTTCCTCGGTTCTTCGTCAGCACCATTTACTAAGGACCGCCGTGCGCGAGAAGAAGAGGAAGTCCTTATTGAGGCGAACGTGCGTCTGTCCTTGAGGTCAATAGCTCATGGCACTCCATGGGACGGCCCCAATTGGAGTCAATGTAGGATAATGTAGCCATATATTCCATACACTCCAGTGGGACAGCTCATGTGACAGAAACGCATTGGCAGTGTCGTCCGCAATGTGTTGTCGTCCGCAAATGTCTGCAAAACACATGGGCTACGTTTGAAACTCGCGATCATGTTTAATTGACACCCGTAAACCACCCTTCCGATGCAAAGGAACACCGGCATGCTTTGGTTAACTGCCGCAGAGTGGACTCGACACCAATGAACATGAAGTGCCAGTGGTACATGTCTAGACAGTGCCTCTTATCTTTGCGGCTCTTTGGCTTATTTAGTTGGATGTTGTTGGACAGGTTTGCGTCAGGCTTGCG